GAAACCAAGAATACTCAGGGATACCCTAAAAAAAGACAGATATGGATGGCTTAGGGTACCCAGACCTACATAAAATACATGAAGCTTGCATGCTTTCCCACTTGTTTATATTTAATATTTAAAAAAAAACAAACGTAGGATGGAACAAGCTGGAAAGTAGTAAATACAGACTCAATCCCTACCTTTTTTTTTTTTTGGACCCCAAACATTTCATATCAGATACTGAAGGGTCTGAAGGGAGAGATTTTTAAATTTAGATATGTCAAGCTCCATATAACTAATTATATCACTAGCCTCATTTTAGAGTTGTCCCTATACATAGAAAACTTGACTATCTCCCACTGGAAATCTTATAATATAAATGTGTTGTAGAATTATAGAATTCTTGAAATTATCTAAGCTAATGCTTTGTCAGGAGGAAATGTGCTGAATAATAAAATGTGTATTTACTAAAAGAACCTTGAAGCTAACAATACTAACTACTCAAAATGGCTGCCAAAGCACCCCTCCCATCGAGTGAACACCTCGTGCTAACAAGATGGCGCCTACATCTTGTGTCCACTCCCGTGTCAAGGATGACATCACCTCTTGATAGGAGGGTATCTAACTAACCACTTAACACCTGGACCAATCAATAGTGTCTATTTGCTGTTATCTTGAATTCTTCAGTGATGTAATAATGCCTTTAAAAGGGTCTGCGCACCCATTTTCTGGCAGAAGCCATTAAACTTCTCCGAAGTTCTTTCATTAACCTGAACTCTGTGTCTCAGTGTGAATTTACTTCTGCGTGCACGCAACTTTATTATCTTTAATTTGGACAGGAACAGATAGTCATTCAAACTAATTGGTTTGCAGTAAATTATCGACAACAGCTGGCGCCATAACGTGGGGCTCTGGGCTATGTCCTGCCTGGGCAGCTGTCCAAGAAGATGCTGGGGGGGATGAATCCTGGGGGAAGGAAAAGAGCCTGATCACCTCTGAATACACGGTAGAGATTGCTGCAGCACCTAGCCGGTATGTTCCTGCCCCTGTGATTGACCTATTCCAGTGTCTGTGACTGCTGCCGAGAGGACATCAAAGTCAGGTAATAACTTGCCCAGAGTCTTTGTATTGTTAATGATACCTAGTTTACCTGCATGTTGACTATCTGTTGCCTGGGTGTGTTTGTATTGGTTTGTGTTTAACTTAGTACCCGGGGAGTGTAAGTGCCTGTTTAACTCCTTTTAGGTACCACGTGGCTGTGGTAGTAAGGAAAAAGGGGGGTGGACCTGTGGAAGCTTTCCTGGGGGTCCTCTATTGCCTGTTTAACTCTTTTAGGAGCCACGTAGCTGTGGCTGTAAGGAAAAAGAGTAGGGGGAATCTGTGGAGGGGTGTAGACTCACTGCTTCCTGGGGGTTCCCCATAGTGTCGCTTTGACTGCTTAGCTAGCCTCATCGGACACTTCTTCTTGGTAAAATTCCAGCCTCGAGCGCTGAGGCAGGTAAGATTCCAATTCTTTAGGCTATACAGGATTCGGGTTGGAAGCTGTTGCTGTTTCCTGTGGCTGCTGGTAGTGAGACTTGCGGGTGGGTCCGCAACAGGGACACTACGAGGTTGAGGGAGGTGGCTTTTGGCCACACGAGTAAAGGCAAGGGATAAAACTGTTGAACTTATTTGAACTGTGATGCATGCACTGTATTTTATTTGAAATGTTGTCTTGTCTGTCACACAGATTCCTGTGTTTACTTTTATCTTACTCACTGTACTATTTACTCTTTCCCCTTCTATTTCTCTTTCTCTGTTGAGAGAAGTGATTGGTCACACACTTCTCGCCACGCTCCAATCCGCGGCTACCACGGGTAGGCGGAATCAGTGACTAGTCTACGTTTTGGGAAGACGTACGTAGGAACCCACTCTTACGTAGCAGTCGAGCACTGTAGACCTTCTTTTCTCTCTTTCTCTATATCTGGGACGCCTTATATAGGGAGGATGGGACAGAAGTTAGATAAACCCAGTAAGGGTTGGTTAGCATGTATTCTAGTGGAAGACAGAGAAGGAGAAGAGATGGTTAAGAAAGTGAGGAAGATTGCTAAAGTATGTGGAATTACCGTACCTCTGTGCGGCAGATTGTAGCCAGAGAGCTGGCGTAAGTTACTGACAGAGAAGAAAGGGGAAGCTGTCGGACCACGATTTGGTTTGTACAGCAGAAGCCTGGTACCGAGTAGCAAGAGCTATTCAGCAAAAGGGATAGGTTGAGGAAGAAATTGATCACAAAGGTTTAAGATTGTTTGTGTATTATATTAATTGTGTTACTAGTCCTCCCAGCCAGCGCCCTATGATGGCGCCCAGGAGGTGACCACTCCCAACATCGCGTCAGCAATGACCGAAATGTAGCTGACCATGGTCCCCACCCCTGGTCCCCACCCTACCACCACCCCTGTTTGCCCAGTCCTGAATGCTGATGGATCCCTATTCTCCCCCCCCATCAGTCCTACAGATCTCGTCACCCTCATCCTCTCTCTGCAGCTCCCTGCACCTCCAGTCCGTTTCTCCCGTCAAAGATTTCTGGTTTCCAAACGTATAAGTCTCTGTCCTTCTGTCTTGTTACTTTACAGCACTCACATAGTTAATCTTCATGCCTGCAGTTTCTCTCTCTCCCCTTTTTGCACTGTCTCACACCCCCCCCCTTTTCCTCCCCGCTTGCCTCCGAATGGAGGAGTGACATGCCTTCTGCATTTCGGAGCTGCTGATAAGAGTTAGAGACGGGATTTTTGCTGGGAAAATATTCTAATTCAAAGGTTATGGTGTTATAATTGTGTAATGATATTATTATTGTTGCCGTTTGCCGTTTATATCTATATATAAATTGTGTTTTGTGATAAGGCAGTGAAGATTGTTGGGGGGGGGCTCGCTCACAAGAATGCATTCCACCTTTCTGAGTATTCTCTCCAAGACTGGTGTATAAGACAGGGAGTCAGGGATGTAGCTCAGTGTTGATTACGGAGGTTAAGTAAGTGAATCTGATACAAGAATAGAGGAATATTTGGACGTGTTAAGTGTAAAGGCAAGCGTGATTTGTTGCAAAACTATGCAATGTGGATAGAGGGAATATGCGAAGTTAAGCTAGTATGTGAAGAGGAAAGTGATTAATGGTTGGAGGAAGATAAGGGAATTTGGTTGAATTCCGTGAGTTTATTTTCCTTTATGTTGAAGTACATGTTTCTAGAAACAGCTGTATGGGCTGTTAAATGCGTAATGTTCTCAACTGTCTTATTTAACCTGCCAGGTCTGTTCATAGTTTAGTATTTCATTTTGCAGAACAGAATGTTGCTTCTCTGACTTATTTTAATAGTTATAATATAGTGTATTGTTGAAAGTGCATCAGCCACCACCCTAAAGATGGCGCCTAGTACAGAAGGAGGTTGACCATGCCAGTCCCGTGACCTATCTACAGTCACGGTTGCTTCTAAAGTGACGTCACTTCCGCCCTTACCATGCCCACACCTCCTGTCTTCCTTTCCCACACTTATCATGGACGTCACCTCACTTCCTCCCTTGCTGTCATTTCCTTCCCCGCCCCTGTCATGGCTGCCTCCATCATGAGGCCTACCCCTATTATGCTCGTCCTATTTAGAGACTAGTGATGTACCGAACGGTTCGCCGGCGAACGGTTCCTGGCGAACATAGCATGTTCGCGTTCGCCACGGCGGGCGAACATATGCGCGGTTCGACCCGCCCCCTATTCGTCATCATTGAGTAAACTTTGACCCTGTACCTCACAGTCAGCAGACACATTCCAGCCAATTAGCAGCACAGCCTCCCTAGCAGACCCTCCCACCTACTGGACAGCATCCATTTTAGATTCATTCTCAAGCTGCATGCTTAGTAAGAGGAGGGAAAGTGTAGCTGCTGTTCATAAGATAGGGAAAAGCATAGCTAGGTTAGGGATAAGGGTATGCTTTTTTTAATTTTATTTTTCTATGTAATGTAAATGCACTTAGTTGTCTGCCACTGCTGCCAGCTTCTGTGTCAGGCTCACAGTGCCCATTTCCCAGTCAGTGCCACCAATTACATCTGGTGTCACAATAGCTTGGATTTAAAAACAAAAAACTTTTTTCACTGTTATAGATTGAATAGCAGTCAGTTGTCTGCCACTGCTGCCAGCTTCTGTGTCAGGCTCACAGTGCATACTGTGCCCATTTCCCCAGTCAGTGCCACCAATTACATCTGGTGTCACAATAGCTTGGATTTAAAAACAAAAAACTTTTTTCACTGTTATAGATTGAATAGCAGTCAGTTGTCTGCCACTGCTGCCAGCTTCTGTGTCAGGCTCACAGTGCATACTGTGCCCATTTCCCCAGTCAGTGCCACCAATTACATCTGGTGTCACAATAGCTTGGATTTAAAAACAAAAAACTTTTTTCACTGTTATAGATTGAATAGCAGTCAGTGTCCTTAAAGCGGGTGTGTTAGCTAACAGTGGATACGCTGACAAGTGCCACTAATTAGATCTGGTGTCACAATAGCTTGGATTTAAAAACAAAAAACTTTTTTTACTGTTATAGATTGAATAGCAGTCAGTGTCCTTAAAGCGGGTGTGTTACGCTGGCAGTGGATACGCTGACAAGTGCCACTAATTAGATCTGGTGTCACAATAG